GCAAACGCTCTCGTGGGTTTTGTTCACTGCCGGGAGCTGCCTGGACAGCAAGCCTCACTCCCGGTCAAGTGTTGATTTGCTCTGGCTTGTGCATCTTAGGCACCCTGTTGACTTCTTGCAGTGGGGAGCTGTCCTTTACCTGCCGTAACATACACTCACCCCACGTGACACCGTCCCCTCCACACGCCCCCTGAGCGGTTGCTGCCATCCCATCCTCAGCTGGTTGCGCCCCCGTCTTGCTGCCATCCCATCCTCAGCTGGATGTGGCCCATCATTCCCCTCACGTGTGGTTCTGCATGCCATCCCCTTAGCATCCCTCCATGCACCTCTGGCCAGTGTACTCAGTGATTTGTTTTTGCGTTTGATTTTTCAACGCAACTCAATGACAAAACACTAACATTTGCTTTTCCTTTCCAACTTCCCAAACCATTTGCTGTAGTTTTCAATATTCTTTAGGTATTTACCTCCATATTTATAAATAATTGACAGTGTTTCCTGGATTATTGATTTAAACATTGCCTCTGTACTCGCTGTTTTGGAAGATGAAAATCAAGAGTTCTCATGCGTCCTTCCCCTTACCCAGCCCATCCTCACCGTAGTCTGAAAGCCCAGGTGTTCAGAAGGTCATGCGTCCTTCCCCTTACCCAGCCCACCCTCGCCGTAGTCTGAAAGCCCAGGTGTTCAGTCGGTAGCCATTGTTGACAATGCAGTTGTCTCCAGAACTCCTGTTTGATTCTGAGCCTGGTGGTATGCAACCCTTTCCTTTTGCCTGTAACTTTTGGTTTTTCCTGGAGTTGATAATGGCTTTTCATTTGCTTTATTTTCTGTATTCATGGACTTTACTTTGTCCAGACAATTCTAAAGCTGCCACATCCCTACAATACTGTTAAGTGAGGTGACAGTCCGTGCCCTCTTTCCTGCGACAAATGACCCTGCACCCAGGCTCCTGACATCTGGGGTCTCCCTTGGATCTGGGGTTCCTATCCCCTGCTTTCTTGTCGTTGTTTTCTACCAAACCAGATACATTTTCCAGCATCTTCCTCAAGCAGAATTTGCAGGTGACGGACTTGCCAAGCATTTGCCTGAAAAGGGGTCTTCTCTCCTCCACCTTCACTTGCTTTGCCAAGTTGGGCTGGGCATGAGATCTCGTTGGTCATCTCCCACTGAATCTTGAAGACATTGCTCCACGGGCTTCTAGCACGAGGCAAGGCCATAGGAAAGCTGGGTCCTATTCCAACAGTCAGTCTGCTGTCCCCTTTTCTCTGCTGAGGTCAGTCCCACATTTCATTGCTGATGCTTTGCCAGCCGTTTCTGTCTTGGTGAGTTAGGTGCAAATACTCCCATGTTCACTTGTTTCTCTCGCCCTCTTTCCAGAAAAACCCCAGGAAGCAGTACTCGGGACACTAGGTGGACACCTGCTATGTGCAAATTCCAGGTGTCAGTGCAAAGGATGGTCCACTTTCTGCTGGATGGGGAGAGAGTAGATGGGGCCCCCTGGGAGTGTGCAGACTATGCCCATGTCCCTGGGTCTGGAGCCACCCCTCAGCACCTCCAGAATGACACGCCAGGTCTAGAGAAGGGTCTGGTCCTTGCGCCACGCCCTGCCCTGAGCCTCCACTCAGAACAGACGGGGTAGAGTGACAGCTGGCGGTCTGGCTGTGGATGCAGTGAGCATATGGGACGGACAGTATTGAGGGTAGGCGAGAATGTACAGGTTGATGGAAAGCAGAGACAGGTGTGTGGGCCTGCCCGAGGCTGCCACACTATCCAGGCAGCTGTGACTGATGGCCCATCCTAGGCTGCTGGCCTCACAAGCAGGTTCTGTGTCTTCCTGGCCTTGCCTCTACCACAGCCATGTCTGAGAACAGGATCCACAGCCCCCCGATGTGGTGGGAGCTGTTCTGAACAGAGAAGGTGCAGCACGGCCCTTCCTGGGCACCAAGCAGCCACAGGCGAACCTGGGTCCCCGGCACCCCAGCACCACCACCACCATTCCGGGCCTTAGGAGGCCTCAGTCAGCTCGGGGCTCCCTAGAAAGAGCAGTGTGCTGAGGCGGGCAGCTTTCACTTACCATTTGCCCAAAGTAGGGCAGCCCTGCATGCTGGCCTCCAACCAAAGCGTGCCACAGAGGGCAGGCCCAGGAAGGGCAGACCAGGCAGAGGGACGGGGATGGTTGTGCTGTGGCAGGTGCCTGGCTCACCGACCCCTACAGGTGCAGAGGGCCCCCACGGCATGGACACTCACCGCCCCCAGCTGCCCGCCTTCCCATGAACAGCCACACTGCAGTGTTTGCAGACCCCAAGGGATCAGTTCAGTACAGGAAGCGAAGAGGTCCAACTCCCCTCTCCACCCATCTTTGTTTGCCACCCAGCAGGGAGAAGCCGCAGCAGCCCCGGGCCAGCTGCCAGCTCTGGCCACGGTCCTGGAGGCCCTGCCCTTGGGTCTCGCCACCTGCTGCTCTCCACAGGGCCACATGGGGGCGCTCCTCCCCCATTCCTGCTGCAGCACAGCACACTTTTTTCTTGGCTCAATCCTTAAATGATCCACAACAACCAGAGCTGGGAGGGAGCCTCAAAGTCTACCCAGGTCCCACGAGTGGACATAGAATCAGGCCCTGTCCCAAGAGACCAGGACTGGAGCCCTCAGATACGGGGCAGCAGAGACTGCTGAGGCAGAGTGGGGTCAGTTGAGCCTGGGCAGGAATTGCTGGTGGCTTTGTGGTCGTATTGTGGCCCCACCTGCCATCCGGACAGTGGGCACATGGCTATGTTCCTCCCCTCATCCCAGGCAGCCACCTGCCTCACTGGCAGGGCCTTTCTCCAGAAGCACAACTCTCAAAGTCCCCTTCTAAGCCAGTCAGGCAGGGGTAAGCCGTCCTTCCAGCCCACATCCCCCTGCCCCCTTCCCCACACCCCTCTCCCAGACAACTGGAAGAAGCCCTAGATTGGAGGCAGAAGATCTTTGGGTGCAGCTGGTAAACCTGCAGGGGGACTGAAGGTGTCCCACTAGCAGGGATGGCTTTCCCGACCACCTGCCCTGTCCTGGGGTTCTGAGGGAGCAGCTGCAAGTGACTCCACACACATAAACCAGAACACCTGTATGCAGCCATCAACCAGCCATCAACACGCGTGGTAGGGCAGAGGGTTTGTGTTAGCTCAGGCTGGAGACCAGCAGAGATGACCCTGTGCGCATGCAGCAGGGCCAGAAGAGCGGGGTGAGGGGGTGCCCACAACTTGTGGGAGACAGTGCAGTGAGCCAGGCAGGAGCACAGGGTGCAGGGTACATGGGTGTGGGAGGAGCTAAGCAGGACCCCACTCTGCTGTCTCCCAGCGTGTCTCAGAGTCTCAGCACTGGGAAACCAGTGGTCCCTCCCTGTCCAGGATCGGGCTGTGGCAGAGCGTTTGGGGCAAGTAACCTGAACTCCTGCGGATGGCCAAAAGCATGCCTCATTAAGCAAGGATCCTCCAAGTGCAGGCAGAACATGGAAGTTGCTCACATCATCTGATAACGGGGCATATCCCCCCACGACCTGTCTGCAACCCCCTAGGTCCCCAGACAGGCTTCTGGCAGTGTCCGTCCCTGCATCGCACCAGGCACGGAGCAGCACGGAGTGTCCCAGCTGCAGGGCTACAGGGGGCAGAGTGCAGCATTGGGAGAAAGCAGCTGGTGTTGGGGAGATGTGGCTCCTGGGTGGGACCTGCTGCACTTTCTGTGATGTGTCATTTCTCCCAGGGGACTTGGTGTGCCAGGAGCTGCTGACCATCCACAGATGCAGGGGGCTAAGGGATGCCAGAGAGGACATATGCCACCCCAAGCTTTACAGGAGGCAGCCCTGCTCCCCCTTCAGACTGGCCCTGGGCACTGACAGCAAGGCCCCAGATGGCTTCCAAGGGGGTGTGGGTCCCAGGCACCTTGGGGGCAGAGGCCTGAAGAGCCCAGGTGGGTAACAGCTGCCCCATTTGCTCCTTGGCTGTCTTCCTTGCAGTCTGTTCCCCCGGGTCATCAGCTAGCTCCTACATGTCCTCTGTGGAAGGAGCTGCCACACTGCCACCCTCTGCTTTCCAGGCTGTGTTCCCATTGCCTGGGCTGGCCTCCAGTGGTATCCTGCCACTCTTCCCTCCCATCCGTTTTTTGTTTTGCTTTTGTTTTCCAAGATTGATTCGTTTTTGAGAGATCTTCCATCCACTGGTTCACTTCCCAAAGGACTCCAGTAGCTGGGGCTGGGCCGGGGCCATGTCAGGAGCCAGGACCTTCTGAGTCTCCCACGTGGGTGCAGGGGACCCGGCACTTCAGGCACATCAGCAGGAAGCTTGATCAGAAGTGGAGCAGCTGGGACTTAAACTGGCACCCATATGGATACAGGTAGCACTTAATGCTCTGTGCCACAATGCCAACCCCTGAACCTTTGCCACCTCTGCCCTAAGTAGACAGCCTGCCCAGCCCTGGGATCTCCTTATCTCTTGGGAGATGTGCAGGTGCCAGCAGACACCAAGAAGTACCTCCTGGGGGTGGGGTAGCTGAGGGGTCTTCACCCCAGGCCAACAGGAGGGTGGCAGATGAACAGTGTTCTAGCTGAAACTTAGCAAGGTGGGGAAGGGGGTAGATGTGGATCCGTCTCGCCGTCTGCAAGGGGAGTTCCCCAGGAGGGATGGGAGGGAGACGAGGCCAGCCCTTCCTGGGCAACCCTTTGCCCAGCGGGAGAGGATTCCTGGTATAATTATGGTTTGGGGTGAGGAGAACCTGGCCGACGCCTCTGCTCTGGAGCGCCCCTAGGAGCTGCAGCTCCAAGGCTGTCTGTCCCCCAGCAGGTCAAAGTTGGGGAGCCCCCATCCTCCAGGAGCTGCGCGTGGCAGGTGTGGCCACTTGCGTTCAGGCCACCGTGTGGGTGTCCAACTAAAGAAGTGACCTTGCGTCGAGAGCTCGAGGCACGATGGATGTGGGACCCTGCCCTGAGCTGCACACACACCCCGTAACCTCCCCTCTTCCCTTGTACCCCGCAGGAAGTTCTACTACATCACACTGCTGCGGGACCCCGTGTCGCGCTACCTGAGCGAGTGGCGCCACGTGCAGCGCGGGGCCACGTGGAAGACGTCGCTGCACATGTGCGACGGGCGCACGCCCACGCCCGAGGAACTGCCGCCGTGCTACGAAGGCACGGACTGGTCGGGCTGCACGCTGCAGGAGTTCATGGACTGCCCCTACAACCTGGCCAACAACCGGCAGGTGCGCATGCTGGCCGATCTGAGCCTGGTGGGCTGCTACAACCTGTCCTTCATCCCCGAGGGCAAGCGCGCACAGCTGCTCCTGGACAGCGCCAAGAAGAACCTGCGCGGCATGGCCTTCTTCGGCCTGACCGAGTTCCAACGCAAGACGCAGTACCTGTTCGAGCGGACGTTCAACCTCAAGTTCATCCGGCCCTTCATGCAGTACAACAGCACGCGCGCGGGGGGCGTGGAGGTGGACGAGGACACGATCCGGCGCATTGAAGAGCTCAACGACCTGGACATGCAGCTCTACGACTACGCCAAGGACCTCTTCCAGCAGCGCTACCAGTACAAGCGGCAGCTGGAGCGCCGCGAACAGCGCCTCAAGAGCCGCGAGGAGCGGCTGCTGCACCGGGCCAAGGAGGCGCTGCCGCGGGACGACGCCGACGAGCCGGGCCGCGTGCCCACCGAGGACTACATGAGCCACATCATCGAGAAGTGGTAGTAGTGGCTGCAGCGGGGGTCAGGGCGCCCTCCATCTTGCAGGAAGGGACGGACTGACGCATGTGCGCATACAGCCTGGGCCTAACCACGGGGGGAGGCTTCATGGCTGGCTCCAGGCTGGGGACCCAGAGGGAAGTGCTAGGAAAAAGAATTCCTGCTGGGGCTGGACCAGACAGGGATTCTCTGGCCGGCGGTCCCCCCCGCTGTCTGGTTGGAGGTGGAGGTGCTAGGCCCGGAGCCAGTCTCCCAGCAACTATGCACGCACTTGTTTCTATTCACTTCCACCCCAACCAGCACCGCCCCTGCCCTCTGGGGACCTCAGGGCTCCCGTAGCCGGGGAACCACCACCCCCTTCAGCCACCTTCAAAAGAAACTAGACAAAAAACAGACCTCCTGGACTTCTCCCCCTGACCTGGGCAGGCAGGGGGATGCTGTGGCCAGACATGCCACCCCTGGGTGCACCCCACCAGCAGACCTTTTGGGAGTAATCGTGTGGGGTATACCAGGTCAGGGGACAGAAGGGTTGGGGGAGAGGCTGGGATCACCCCTGCCCCGTTCTTCCTTCTGTTCCCCTGGGGTTTGTTAGCTGTTCCCAGCAGCCCCACGGGCTGGCCCCTGGCCCTACTACAAGCCATGTTGTATATCCGTTGTAAGCACCCGTCCAGTGCGCTCTAGTCCAGGCCAGCATCTCCCCCGCTGGGTGGAGCCCCCAGAACAAGTGCATGTCCCTGACCCCGAAGCTGGATGGAGTCCCCCTCCATGCCCCTGGCTGCACCTGAGGTCAGGAGGGAGCCATGGAGGAGTCGGGGTGGCTTGGCTCTTACGGCAGAGTGTGGGAGCAAGGGGGTTCTGGAATGCTTTCCTCCCTGCCCACGTGGCACTGTAGAGCCCACGGCTGGGCAGTTGGCCCCCAGGCAAGTACACAGAGTGGCTCCTTTAAAAAGGTGGTCAGAGTCTTTAACGGGAGGGTGGGATGTGTTCTGGGGAGCTTTGGGGTTCTACACAGGCCCTGCTAGCTGAGGGCACCCCCCCTCACACAGGCCATACATGCAAGAGAACCATTTTGTACCCAGCGGGATATGTTTTCACTTTCGCCCCGCTATTCCAACTCACCGAAACTTGTGTCCCGGCCGGGGTCTTGGCCAGTGGCCAGGTGCGTCCGCCTGCAGCCTCTCCAAGAACGCCACAGGCTGGCACGCCAACCCTGAGCCTAGGACCTTCCCAGGCCAAGGTGCCAGAGGCAAAGCCACATGAGCCGGGCCTGCCAACATCCCCTCCGGCAAGGAGAAGCCGGGAGTGGGGAGGGAGAGCTGTCTGGAGCAACGAAGTCTGTGAACTTTTTTGGCAACTGGAACGCTTCTCACTCAAGCCCCGGGAGCGTTTAAAGCTTTATTTATTTATAGCTTCTTATTAAAAAAAAAAAAAGTGATGAGAAGAAATCTTTGGGTCATTCATACAAAAAAATCGATGATGGCAAGGCGAGTTATAATCCTCCAGTTGTTTTTTTTTGTTTTTTGTTTTTTCAGTCTAGATTGAGAATGAATGTTAGCAGATGAAATAAACCTGAAAAGGCGCGCTGGTGTGCTGTGGTGTGTGGTGGTCCAGCTGGCCGGTGGGCGGTGGGGGCCTGGCGGGGACACGCCAGCATGGCCGGCAGAGGGCAAGCAACATGCCTGGGGGTCCGAGCAGGAGGACAGCCGTCTCCATCGTCCCTGAACCAGTCATTCCACCGTGTAGGGAGGTGACACCAGTGAAGGTAGGGACGGGTGCTGAGGGTCCTCAGGTCGCCCTCAGTGGGCTCTTTCCCCACCCCCACTCACACTTGGATCTCTAGAGGCTAAAAGAACTGGACTCTCGGTCATCTCTGGGGATGATAATGTTAATATTACCCTCTTTTTTTTTTTAATCCACTGGAAAGGTTGTGTTATAGAAAAGGGAGCTTCTGTCTGCTGGTTCACTCCCCAAATAGCTGCAACAGCCAGAGCTGAGCCGTTCTAAAACCGGGAACCTCCTCCAGGTCTCCCACACTGGTGCAGGGTCCCAAGGCTTTGGGCCGTCCTCCACTGCTTTCCCAGGCCACAAGCAGGGAGCTGGATGGGAAGTGGTGCTGCCAGGATTAGAACCGGAGCCCATATGGGATCCCGGTACGTTCAAGGTGAGGACTTGACTGTTAGGTGACCGCACCGGGCCCTCGTGAAGACTTCTATGAGATGGGTGTCTCAAAGTTCCCAGCTTCCAACCCCGCCAGGGGCTGTTGCAGGTTTTCAGAAAGTAAAGTAGTGAATGGGAGCTGTCTTTCACTTTCTCAAGAGAACTATTTTAAAGTTCATGGCCAAATGGAATTAAAAGTAAATTGGGATGCCATTACAAAAAAATTGGAATCTGTGCATAGCTTTTCCTAACAACACTTTGCACAAACTTCTTGCAGGTCCGTAGTAATAAAATCCCACTCTCTTCCTGCCATCTCCCGACCTTGCACCATCTATACCCACGTGTATGACCCGCTCTCATGCCTTGCTCACTCCTCTCCCCCCTCCCCTGGCCAGGCGTCGAGGTCCACTGGGTGATACAGGTCAGGTGTCTCCCTCCAGATCTGTCTCCTGATGCTATGACTCTGTTCAGCATTCCGGGCCTGAATACCAGGCAGGTGTGTGATTTTCCTGGCTGCTGGCACTTCCCAAGCTTTAGTTCTCCATCCCCCAAAGCCAGGAGAGGCCCTGCCCACTCCCCACCACCCACCTACCCTGCCCAGAGGGTCTCCTGCACAAATCCAGGCAAGACATGTGTAGGTCTCCTGAGCTCTGGCCCCTCCACAAGCCCTTCCCTGGAGATGCTGTTTGGGGGTGCAAGCCAGCCCTCAACCTGTGCCTCCCTTGTGGGAAGCCCATGACCAAGATGTCCTCCACTTCCCTGTGTCCCTGTGCGCCTGAAGGCCACTGTTCCCCTTTAGCAGGTGGACAGCCAGGTCGGAGACCACCGTGGCGATAGCAATCGACAAAGGTGGGATTGAGGCTCACCAGGAAGACAGTCTGAGCCACAGCCAGCCCTCACCCCCTTTCCTGCCATCTTCTGTGCACCCCACCCCATCAGCTCCCGGCCCCTCCTTCCCTGATGGGCCTGCTGCCTAGAGCCTCAGCCAGTCCTTGCCCCGTGGACCATGCACTGTCCTTCTCTTCACAGCCCTTCTCAAGAGGGCGGGGCCTCCGCTCCCTGTACCACACACACGCACCCAGAGGTAGGCTCCCAGAGGCCTGACTGTCTACTGGTGCCCTGCGTGGCAGCACAGACAGGAGCCTGTCTTCTGGACAACCTGGAATGGAGGAACCCCAAGCCCCTCTCCCTGCCTAGGGGCGTGCACCAGATGCTGGGGACCCTCCAGACGAGGAAGCCCACGGAAGGATGGCGGGTGACTTTCACACAAGGGCCTTAACTGGGTCCAAGAGTGGGCCTGTGGCCCCACCCCTGAGCATGCTCAGCCACCCCTGGCCAGCTGCCATGCTTCATGGGAAGGACCAGCAGGAGAGGCTCTGCCCCAGCTTCATCACTGCCCGCGCAGAGGACACACGACCGTGAACATGGCCCAGTTAGCATGACCCAGTACCCTAAGTACTGGTTCTGACCAGGGCCGACAGTTCAGGCCGTGGTGAGGCACAGCCCCACCGTGGGCACAGCGACGTGTCTTGTTTGCCCTGCAAAGAGGGCCATGATAGCTCTCCTCACATCATTGAGAAGAGGTGCCATCTGTTTACTGCTCCCACTGCCACTTGGCAGGAGCTTCTCCTCTAAATGGCTACAGAAGACCCCGTGGCCCCCCTTACCTGCGAGGGCCTCCAGGATCCCCGCTCCCAGGCCTAGGACCAGGTCAGACAAGAGCCTCGGGTCGGAATCCACACAGCACTGACCAGCATCCAAGGACGGACCACGGCAAGTGCACAGAGCAGCGGAGAACAAGTTAGGGGCCACGGAGCTGAAGAAAGCAGGGAACAAAGAACATATTGGTCCTGTGAGAGAGGACTGACAGAAACAATAATGGGAAACAGGGGTTGCCTTTCTGAACTAAGCCAGGGGAATCTCCTCTATTGTGTACATTGAAATTGACCTGGCCTGGGCCCAGCGTGGTGACTCAGTCGCCTAATCCCTCATCTCCAAGCTCCGGGATCTCATATGGGCGCCAGTTCTAATCCTGGCCACCTCGCTTCCCATCCAGCTCCCTGCCTGTAGCCTGGGAAAGCAGTCGAGGACGGCCCAAAGCTTTGGGACCCTGCACCCGCATGGGAGACCCGGAAGAAGCCCCTGGCTGTGGATGGATCCCCTCCACTCCAGGTGTTGCAACCACTTGGAGAATGAATCAGTGGATGGAGGAGTTTTCTCTCTCCTCTCCTTCTCTCTGTAAATCTGCCTTTCCATTCAAAATAAAGAAATCTTTTTTTTCCCCCTTAATCTGGCCAGTCCCTCTATCTCCATCTCTGTCATCTCTCTCCTGACTTCTCAGAAAGCCCCAGACTGGCCGACAGACCCACACCTGTGGACCAGGCCTGGGGACTCCAGGCAAGCATGCCATCCCACCGGAAAACTGGGCTTGGGAGCTCACGCACTGGCAGGTGTGAGTGGTGTGGATTGCTCAGGGAAGCGGGTATGGGGATGTGTGGGAGGAGGGGACCACTGAGGGAGTATGTCGCAAGAGGAGCAAGGATTTCTTGGAGAACTTCCACTGACTGCCTAGTAGTCGACTTGGAAGTAATCGATCGGTTTAAGACCCATAGGTGTCAAGGAAGGAAACCAGAGGATCTTACTGAATCTTACCAATGCTCCTGCCTACGTGAGAGACCTGAGCTGGGCTAATTCACATCCACCACTACAGGCACATGCAAAAGCTACAGCTGAGGGTCCTGCTTGGCGGGGCTAGACTACAAGTACCCAGCCATAAGCATCGGGACAAGGGATGGGTCATGTTCGACACTGATTGGCACATGAGATAACCAGGCCTGGGCGCAAATTCTGTGGGAGATATGTGGGCCCACCCCTGTGGGACTACAATACCCACCGGTTTGTTCAGGAGCTGGGAGAGGTGACAGGCCGAGCTAGGCATGACCATGGAACTCACTGATATTCATAGGAACTGGGGGTGGGAATAGGCTGACTAGTCCAGGCTGCAGCCAAGATTTGGGTGTGGGGCAAGCCGGGTCATCACATCCACCAGCACACACATACTTCCTGGTAGACGCGGGTCATCGAGGCCTGTGTCCCTGCAAAAGGTGCTGCTGGGTGCACCCCTGGCAGCACTGTGTCTACCAAGCTACAGCTACCTGGGCAGAGCAGAGCCCTTTAGCACTGGGAGCCACCTGTGCCACTTCCTTCTTCTGCATTCCTGGGTCCCACAAGGGGACCAGCCTGCATGCCCGGTTTCCTATTGCTTTGAATTTTCACCTACTTACAGGTCAAGCTGTTGTTGGATTCTTTAAGTGGACGTTTGCTTTTGTATCTCTTGGATGAATACCAAAGAGGGGATGCAACAAAATACTGGCTAACTAAGTTGCTGGACCCAGAACCCCAACCATGGAGAGAATTGCAGGTTCCATGGTCTGGCCGTGGAGTGCATGTGTCAGAGCTGGGCCTGCTCAGTGGCTTAGATGAGCAGTGGACAGCATATCCAGGTGCACATGGAGGATATAGCCGGACACTGGAGCCTGCAGAGGACACCTGTACCACAACAGAGGATGGAGGACAGAACAAATCGATCAACTACCCCAGGCATGTGTGGGCAGTGAAAATCTGGGCAAGTGGACTAAGGTGGACTATGTCAATCAATGGATTCTGGACAGAGTTCATCGTGCTTGGAGTGGCGAGATCGGCAGTAAATCAGAACTATTGAACTATCAAAACCTCTTGAGCAGGACCCTCGGATTGCCCCACATCAGGGACCTGGGAATGGCGTCAGGTGGCTGTCCACCATCCCAGGATATGGAGGTGGTTGGCAGGCTGGGTGTGGCTTCTCCCCTTGTCTCCTCCTTCCCCCAGATACAGGAAGGGAAAAAAGAGAATGTGGAAATGGTGATCTCACCCACCTTAATGTAGCCCTTGACCCTTAACACCTAATCAACTATGTAAAAATCATCAAAAATAATTAATAAAAATGAAAGATAAATAAAAAGCCTTACAGGGCCTCGCATGGTAGGCTAGTGGCTTAAGTCCTTGCCTTGCACGCACTGGGATCCCATATGGGTACCGGTTCTAATCCCAGCAGCCCCACTTCTGATTCAGCTCCCTGCCTGTGACCTGGGAGAGCACTTGAGGACGGTCCAAGGCCTTGGGATCCTGCACCCACGTGGGAGACCCAGAAGAAGCTTCTGGAACCTGCATTCGAATGGCTCAGTTCAGGCCATTGCAGCTGCTTGGGGAGTGAATCAGCAGATGGAAGATCTTCCTCTCCGACTCTCCTTGTTTCTAAATATCTGAGTTTTCAATAAAAATAAACCTTAAAAAAAAATAACTCTTCTTTCACCTTCTCTCATTCCTTCTTAGATACTGTTCCTTTATGAGGATCTGAGCACCTGACTTCTAGCATTTTCCTCTT